TGGTGGCAAAGGTCAGGGATTAGGGGTGAGACTTCTGGACCCAAGGTAGTGACCAGGAGGCAGGGCAACTGTCAGGGGGCAGGACTACCCATGCCACCTTCAACAGCTCACCAAAAAAAAAAAAAAAAAAAAAAAAAAAACAAACTCATTAAAAAGAAGCCAAAATAAATTTCCTGCCCCTGCAGTAGACTGTTACACTTGTCTGAACCAACAGTCTCTAAAGTTGTTAGACCTTAGGAGTCTCCTACAAAAAGTCATGTCTCTCTAAACTAGTTAGTCTCCAAGGTGCTGCCCTACCCTCTGTCTCACTAACACTGGTAACTATCTCTTAGTAATCTATAGCATCAGGCTCATTATTACTTGCTGTTCTTCTGGCTTTGCAAATCTTGCATTCCTTTATGCTTAATGACCTACCACGCTACTAGAAAAAAGCAGGCTGAAATCCCTTCAGACTGAAAACTATCTACAACCCAAGGCTTCCACTTCCTGGGCACGTGCTTATCCACTGTTAGCATATAAGAAGATAACAGCACTAAATCCTTCTCTTCCAGTCACATTTTAAACAGTAAGCATCCTCAGTGTTTCTGAAGTACAGTAGTTCCCAGGCTCCACATCCCAAGCGTATAGAAGTTTTATCTTTGCAGTCATCTAAATGGAGTTCAGGCACAGTGGGTGTGTCTACATGCGATACTATAAATCGCTATAGCAACAAGCTACGGCGATGTAGCATCAGTCACAAACTGTGATGCTGGAGATACGACGCATAGCAACATGCTCCAGCAATGTAGCATCAGTCACAAACTGACGCTGGAGCTACGATGCCATAGCAACATGCTCCCTCACTATAGCATGTTGCTATGGCAATGTAGCAGCTAAAAATAACCATGCACAGCACACAAGGCGCAGTATGAGTTGTTACTGTGCCATTGTTCAGTATTTCCTTTTGGTACTAAAGTTACCGCGCTGTCACTTAGTACAAGAGCACTGTAGGGACATGTGTAGATGTGCCCAGTGCGATACTTTGCATATCCCACTGGCTAGCTCTAAATGGCTTTCAACTCAGCAGCGGGTTTTTCAAATCACCCTTCCAAGGCACCTAACTCTCCCTTATGCAGTATACAGAGGGACAGGTGCTTAACTAACTCTGAATATAAGATGCTTAAGTCCTTCTCCAGATCTGCCCCAAGCCTTTTCACTTGGAAATTAAGAGATTTCTGCCTCTATGATCCAGAGAATCAAAAGTCAAGATGACAGATTTCACATAAAATCTCTGATGTGGTTATATGGATGACCAAAAAGAACTACTGCCGATTTTCCAGGCAATGCTAAAAGTCTCCATAAATGTAAACAGCTATACAGTTGCAGTTGATGTATTAGGTTTTGGAGTACCACTAAATAATTAAACTTTTCATTTGCTTACTTCTGCAAAAATAGAAAAAAACAATTCCTTTTGTGCAAAGTCTTTTTTGCTTGTCTGTTAATTGTCATATAATTATGCAAAGAAATAATGTACCCAAATGTAACCAAGGCCATACTTCTTACAAAAGTATTTACCAAATATTTCATAATAAAAAATGATCCCTACTGCCCTTGACTAGTGCTTGTGACTCATAACAAGTGCTTCTAAAGAAGCAAATTTTGCATTTTAGAATTAAGAAAATTGTACAAAAAGCATTTTTAAAAAGTTTTCCCATGAAAGGACGCCAATGTTGATCACTGTATTATATACTCAGTATATTTTTCAAGAAACATTTTCTTGAGATACAGTTTAAGTTTAGTAAGCTGCTTTGCCAAGGACAGTTGCTTCCTTCGTTGGTTATGAGAACATACTTCTTTAAATGGAAAACAAATAAATCTGCTTCCCAGTTCTTCACCTAACTTTGCTAATACGCAGTGAAAGTCTCAGTAAAGGCTGGCAGTATTACTTCCAGACAATTTTGATTGTTGTTTTTTCTATCAAAACACCCATCCAATCCTAGTAGAAATTAGGCTTATTTTTGCCTCACTATAGCTAGCCGAGATCAGTCCCAAGCAAAGGGTAAAGGGCTGACCTCACTGAAGTCTACACTGAAGGAGGAAATGCAGTTTTCATCAGCTTTTGAATCACAATAGCTATCTAGACCTAAACAACCCCCCCTCCAAAAAAAACAAACAAACCCATCACATCTTTCTTTGCAGTTGGTACTCAGTTTCCATTTCATGAAAAAGGAGCAAAGTGTAATCTAGTGACATTTCTTCCAAGAACCTACAACATAAAGAGTTTAGGGATTGTGTGGTTGGCAGTGAATTACTGAAGTGCCTGAAAATATTTTGGGACCTCAACCTTCAGGCAAAGTTGCAGCTATCCATTTATTTTCCTTAGAAGGAAATTTGGAATGTACCAGTTTCCCCTTCAGTTTGTGGAACTCACTGAAGCCATTTCAAAGAAAGTGAAAATCTTTCATTCATTAAAAAAATATTACACTGAAAATCTTAACAGCATTAAAGTATTAATGATGAGGTATGCTTACCATATGGATTTGCATTAATATTAGTTCCAATAAGCTCCAGTGTTTGTTCCAAAAGGTTTGATAATGGCACAGGACTGATTTCCAGAAGTCCAGGGTCATCAGCATGGTGTTTCAATACAAGAGCTACTTCAGCCTCATAGTTTACAACAGATGAATGCCAGCAATATTGTTTACTGTTTTTCTCCACTGGCACCCAACCTATAAGAAAGTATTCCATGTTATCCCTTAATTGAGACTCGTTAAAAGCTGTATGTGCATAAGAAAGCAATGGTCTAACCTTCAACTCCCCTATGAAAAATGAACTTTCATTTCTATCTGGGAGAACTTTTACAATCTTTTCTCCTATGCCTGAAGAAGGGTGTTTGTGCCTGAAAGCTTGCAAATAAAGATTTTTGTTTGCAAAAGTCTAATTGGTCTAATAAAAGATATCACCTCTACCACGAGTTCTGATTCCTGTGGTCTAAACTTCAGCATTTTGAAGCTAATATGGAGAGCTATGCAAGTAATTACAAAGAAAAAGTTAACCCAGAGACAAAAGGGGAGCAGGGAGGGTAAAGAGTTGCACACTACCTCAGATGTAGGTCAAAGGAACTTAAGTTATAACTGTTTTTAGTCCAAAGCTTTTTACAATGCAGCCAAATGCCACAAAAATAATTTCTACTGTGGCAGAAAAAAGCACTACTGAATGACTAAGGAAATAACGTGTTTGAACTGTATCTTCTGAACAAAGAGGTATTCAACACTTGGACTAATTCTAATAGATTACAGAGGTACAGAAAATTTCCCCTTTTCATTTAAATTGAGCGCTCTCTCTCTCTATATACCTGGAATGTGTCCATTTTCATCAGGCAAAGGGTTCCCATTAGAATGCTGTATTTCCTTTGCTGGAATCCAGCACTCCGGGACATGCTTGAAATCTTCAATATTCCAAATAAATTCTAAAAAAAGATAAACAGTTGTGTTTTGACAAAATTTCAGCTAATTTCAAAGTAAGCCTTTAAAGAATGTGCCTAGAAGGACTATGAGCAGGTGATCTAATCTCGTTACAGCTTTTATTGTTTAATATTAAAACGTTATTTGCTGTACTACAATGTTTAAACAAAAAGTTTCAATTCCAGCACAAAAACAGAATATTATATACAATGAAGATCAGCATGCAGGAAGTTTTAGGATTTGGAATACAACCACAGTGAGAAATAAGTGCTTAATTAGTTCTGTATACTTTGTAACTACAATTTTGACTAAGTATGGTATTTTACAAGGAAAATAAAGGTTGTGGAGAGTTCATTGCCTCAATAATAAAAAAGGACTGTGCCCTTCCCCAAACTCAATACAAACAATGCTCATTAAATACACAAACAGTCCGTCCTAAGATTTTTTGTATCTCATTAAGGCTATTCATCTTACTTTGCAGTGTCCAATGCCTCCAACAGCAGCCAAGAATTGAAGCAAGCTTATCAGTTGCACCAATTATATACTTAAAAAGGGAGTACAGTGATGTCATAAAACAAGACAAGTGGGCCCAGAATTTCTATACACTCAAAGAGTATAAGCACTTAACCCACATATATTATAAACAGAGATCCGGGTTTTCTGTTCCCCATGGAAAAACGGAGTAAACCATGGATTTTACCTTTTACTGGAGACAAATGCGGATTTTTCATTTTAGGGGAGAAGCCTGCGGATTTTGAAGTTTTGCGATGAGCCCTCTGCAGACTGGCAGACTCCTAGCCTGCAGGGGACTGGGAGGGAGCAGGAAGAGGACGGTCAGACAGGGAGCACCATGTGCATGTACACACACATGGCCCCAGGCAGCCTGGAGAGCAGCTCCAGCAGGTAAGCAGGTGCGTGGGGGACTGGAATTGAGTCCCTGTGGGGGCTGGGACTGCTACCCAGCCATGCAGTGTGGGGCAGCTAGTCTGGTGGGGGAAGGGCGGGGGAAGGAGATGGGTCCAGCTCCCAGGACTGTGTGCACTCTCCAGGGGACAGGGGGCAGATCCGTGCCCCTCAGGTCTGTGCATGGGGTGGGGGCAGGTGTAAGCTGCAGGTTCAAGCTCCTGCCCTGCTGCCCTACCCCAGGGCCTTTGCCTAGCCTAGTGGGCACAACCTGGCATGACAGGGAACAGCGGGGCCACGCAGAGAAGCTGTTCGTTGCTGTGAGCTACCCACTACCCTGGCAACACGTTTCCTGCGTGCACAGCAGCTTCGATTGGCACAACCCCAGACCACTGCCCTCACCTCAGCTGCGCGTGCAGAGGATGTGTTGTCAGGGCAACGTAAAGCTCACAGCAACAAGCAGCTTCTCCATGGAGCCCCATTGTTCTCTGCTGTGCCAGGTCGTGCCCACTGGACTTCAGAGGTCCTGGGGTAAAGCAGCAGGGCGGAAGCCCGAGCCTGAGCCCACCCCTGCCCCACACACAGATCTGGGGGCATGGGTCCCTCCTGTCCCCTGTGAAAGGCATGCAGTCCCGAGAGAGCTGGCCCCACCACCCCCCCACGCAAGCCTGCAGTGTGCAACCTGCCCTACCCCATGCACAGATCCGGGGGCACAGGTCCCTCCTGGGGAGCATGCACTCTAGCAGGGAGCTGTCCCCACCACCCGAGCCTGCAGCAGGCAAGCAGCAGGGGGAAGCCGGACTCCACTCCACTGCAGCAGCCACTGCCTCCTGCTAGGGGTGGGGGGCTGCCAACCCAGGTCAGAGACACCAGCAGGGCCACGGGGCCTTTAATTTTAATCATGTATTTGGGGGGTTTATCAGAGAATTTGCCATTTTTTTTTATTAAAGAAAACCAAGATCCCCGATTATAAAGCAAGTAAAAGCTATGAATTGGGACTGGTATTGTGTTACACAGTTATCTAATTTGTGTAAGTGGGACAGATACAATGTAGTCTACTATGATTAATAAGAAGCGTTTGTCCTACCTTAACACGTTTATTAACAAAAAAAGGGTGAGGGGAATAAAGGAAGTGTCCTCACTAACCTTTGGAATCTTCCAGTGAATACAGGAATTTTTTAAACCTTTTCTCAGCTTGCTTGTTGGGTTTTCTATCCAACCTCGCCCATAGGTATGGTCGCCCTGAAGTTTCAATATGAAAACAGACTGCATTAAGCAGTAGCAGAAATAATGTTCTGAACATCATAGAACTGAAAATATAGTAGTTAAGCTATCCATTGGCAAATGTTCCATTCTTTCCTGCCTCCAAAAACTAAGTAGTCCTGCAGCTATATATATTTAACATTTATGATATTTTATTGTATAGAAATCTAAACAACTATATTCAGACTATTATTTCATCTACTTTTATGCATAAATTGGTTTATTAGTTATGTTTTTAAAAGCCACAGGGCATATATGTTTCATGCAGATTAGAAATACTCTTCCAGACAGATGTAAGAATAGGAGAAATTTTCAAGGCTTCAACAACAATGCATTGAACCACAGCTTTCCTCACAGCTCTGGAAATAAAACAGCCTCTACAAGAATTTATTAGGCAATAAGCTCAATACAAAATGTCACCCTGAAGAGCCAGTTCAAAGTTTTCTTTGGCTACCACATTAACTTAAACAACACGCTATTTATCTTGGCTTTGATTTCACGTGTTAAATTAAGAGCCAGAACAATTTTACAGATAAGTGCATCTATATAATAAAGCTGTTTTTGTGCTTGGTTTTTCTGTTTCCCAGCTCCAAGATTCCAGTAAAAATATATAAGGAAGATAAATTATGCACAATACAGAAGTACTAGTCAATGTGAGGAGTCCTTATACAGTTCCTCCCCATTACCTTTATATGTAGTTACATAACAGCAGGTTCCATCCACCTTTTCAGTCGGAATTGCATTGTATATATCTGCATCTATTGCCTTTCGAGTTAGAGTCTCCGTTGCCAAAACTTTAAACGGCTGAAAAAGGCATTTATTAAAAACATCGATTAAAATCCAGTCTTTCACAGGCGATTACCATCTTACCACACTGATTGTAGGGAATTAGGAGTGCCCATAAATCAGCATTCTGTTTTTCTTTTATTCCTATTTTCTAATATTATCTAAGAACACCACTATATCGCAGCACATCACAAGTCTAAAAATGCATCAAAATATAAGAATGAAGTCACCTTAAAAAATGGCTGAGATTACTTCCCACTTTTCTTCTTCACTGATCTCTAAAGACTACCTGCTCCCCCCTTTTTGAAGTACAGGTAGAATGCAAAAGGGATCCAGGCAGGTGCCACAGAATTTCAAGAGATGCCTTCGCAGCATTACCATAACAACAAAGATTCTATGCATCATTTAGCAAGAGACTAACTGCTCATAAGCTTCAGTTTGGCTATGGAAGGCCTATCAATCAGACACGGTGGTGTTGGTGGCAACAAACAAACTAGGGTGAGAAGGGGCGATTAAAGAAAATGCTGTGAACCAGTTAAGATACTGTGGGGTCTTGAGCCAAACCCTTTCTTCCTTAAAGCGGTAAGTGTTCCAAGAAGTCTGAACAGACACCCAGAAGCCCTTGTCAACCTGATCCTGTTTTTTGTTTAACAAGGCATCTAGAAATAGCTTCAACGAGGCTGTTTCTGGTTAGGGCTATTTTCAAAATATCTTGTCGAATCCTCCTTTATTTTCAAAATATCTTGTCTAATTAGGTGTCTAATCCTTCTCTGCACCTGCAATCTTCTCTGTTTAGAGCAGTGGCTGTCAAATTCTTAGGCTCGAGGCACCCCTCCGCTTCTTCACTGTTGGTCTTTTCTTGACCATAGCAGGGGAAAAAAAACAACAGAGCATCTTTTTTGCTGCAAGAGAACTCAAAACACTGCACCAGCCCAGGAGGCTTTTTAATGCTGTGGATGACAGGTCTAACAGTGGGCTCCTGTTGGACATCTCTGGGTGTCATCTTGCCAAGTTGATGGTAGTCATAGGTCGAGTTTAGATGATGGTTTGTATGGGGTGGTTTGGATAGGGCTGATCCTGCCTCAGACAGGGGGTTAGACTATGATTCCTGGAGGTCACTTCCAGCTCAGCTTCTCTATGACTAAGAGTGCAGACAGAAGTGACAGTTTTCACCCGATCTGGTCACAGAAAGCAGTCTATAGCCCTGATCAAACAAAAGTGAACAACTGCAGACAGCTTCAGAAAGGGGGACTGGGTAAAATCTGACCTCTCATTGAACGAAGCATCAGATAAAGACATTTCAAAATGTAACATCTTTAATAACTTGTGTCTGCTAAGCTCTCAGTTGATCACTGTTTTCAGAATGGGAGGGGGGAAAGGGAGTGGAGGGAGTTCAGTCTGGGGGCTTTTCAGCCCCCCTGGACAGTAGGGTGGATGTACTGGAGCCTTGCTGAGGTGGGGGAGGCCCCAATTCACCCACCCCACCCTTCAGCACCAGCTGGGACACCCCAAGAACCAGCTCCCTCTGCTGCCTTCCCCCACTCCCATTCTGACAACAGGGAGCCCGGACCACTGCTACAGGAACCTGGGTGCTGGCTCCCAGCCCACAGCTAGATTCCCCTCCTCCCTGGAGCCAGCAGCAAACTTCTGTCTGGTCTGGGGGTAACTCTGAACACTTGGCAAAAATCCTTCCGAGCTACAGCTGGAAGCCGCACTTCTGTTAGGGTTGCCAACTGTTCAGGACTGCCCTGGTGTCTCCAGGAATTAGATATAAATGTCCAGGAGACTCCTGAGAGAGTCAACCGTGAGATAAGTGATAGGACATTCATTAAAATAAATAATGTTGAATCCAATTTATACATTTAAAAAACCCACTGGACTACGGTAACAGAAACAAGCATTTGCCTTCCCGCATAGTGGGGGCACGTGCTCCCCCTGACAGGGCCACTGCCAACACGGCCGGTGGCATCTGTGCATACTCGCCAGCTCTGCTCTGGCGGCCAATGCGGCTGTCGGCTTTTGCAGGTGCCCCCGCCCAGCACTCAGGAGGCCCCAGTCGCCCACGCCTTTCTGACCTAACATCTATGCACCATCATCTGTAACGGAGACACGCAAGCGCGTGAGCACGCATGTGTGGTGCGTGGCGGGCACACCAGCCGGCCGCACATCTCCCAGAATTGGTTCAGAGCGGGCAACCCGCACTTCCGCCTGCACAGCCCGACGGGGGGTGCAGGCGGATCTACCGGTGCCACAGGCGCCCCCAAAAGCTCCACATCCGCCCTCAGCTCTCGGGGCCCGGCGCCGCCTCCTCGTGGCACGACCCCAGGCTCCACGCCCCTGTCGGGGAGGGACGCGGAGCCACCGGGCAGCGCCCAGGGGCGGGGCCGCTCCTGCCCCACGGCCATCAGCCCCGCAGCAGCCACCGCCCCCTCCCAAGCGCGCATGCGCGGAGCGGGGCCGGCCGGGGGGGAAGGGTGGTACACGCGTGACGAGCTCCCCCCCCGCCGGCACCTGGCGCTCCCGCTTGGCCGACGGCTCCTCCTTGACCTGGGTGACGAAGAGGCAAGGCACCTTCCGCTGCACCGCGCCCAGGCGGCTCATGGCCGCGGTTCCCCGCTCCCGCAGCGCCTGAGCCCGCACCCGCGCGCGGCGCGCTGGGAAATGGAGTCCGGCGGGGCGGGGCCTGAGGGGCTCCCGCCCCCATGGAGCTCCTCGCTTCTAGTGGCAATGGTTACCGGCAGGCGTCGTTGCCATTGCTCACCACTTTTTCCATGTGGGTGCATAGATTAGATATAGATATAGATATGCTCCCCACGTGCTGCCAGCTCATCACCTGGTCCATGACCCTCTCTAGTGTTGTCATGGCCCTCCTTGCTTCCAGAACAAAACAAGGGCCCTCATCAAAATGAGGCTTGCTTAGCGAAGGAGTTGTAAAAGGCAGCGTCATGCAAAAAAGATTCATGGTTTCATATGGAAAACTGGAACTCTCAGTTCCAAAAGGATACCTTTTAGGAGACCAACCGGGAAATTGCAAGCCAAATTGTCCTTCTCTGCAAGCTTTCAGGATCAAAGTCCCTTTGTCAGGCTCTGGGAAAAGAATAGAGGGTACAGGATGGTGAAACATCCCCATAGGTAGGAAATAACTTTTGTACAGAGGGAGCTGAAGATGGAAGGCGATCTCCCTCCAAGTCCATGAGAGTGTCTTTGTGAGCGGGGCTGAGTAGCTCTTTGATGGGTAGATCAGGTAGGATTCCTTCCCTGGAGGTGTTAGATGGCAGGCAGGGAGGTCAATATGTTATAGATTCATAGACATTAGGGCTGGAAGGGACCTCACAAGATCAGCAGGTCCAGCCCTCTCCAGGTGCAGGAAGTCAGCTGGGATCAAAGGATCTCGGCAGGTTAGGCATCCAAATGTTCCTTTAAAGTGGGCAGAGTAAGTGCTTGCACCACCTCTGGGGCAGCGTTCCCTAAGCTGTATGGTGTGCGCAGGCAGGTCTGGCAGCATGGCATGTGTGCGCCTGCACAGCCATGCATGCCACACAGCTTAGAGGGAATGCTGCTCAGGGGGGAGTCTATTCCAGGCCTTGGGGACTCAGACAGTAAAGAAGTTTTTCCTTATGCCCAGCCTAAAACAGTGAGAGGCTGTCTCTAACTGCCAGGTGCACTTAGGTAGCAGAGCTTGCTTTGTGTCTCACTCCCTGGCATGGGCAGGGTTGACACTCTCATGTGGGCCCAGTGCCTGCCATTCATTCACACCAAAATCCCAGCGGGTTCCCATTGGTGTCTAGAGAAGAAAGAATTTTGGAAGGCCCAGGGTCTTTCTGAGACCTGTGCAACAAGAATTGCAGGGGAAGGGGAGTTTCCTTCCTAGCCAAAAAGAATCAGAGGAAGCGCAGAGCTGGCATTTTCCAAGTGTCTATTGAGTGTAGCAAGGGCTGGCGCGCTTTGCATCTAACAAGGGGTGCCTTGAGTCTAAAAGGCTAAGAACGGCTGATTTGCACAGGCCTTGATGTCAGAAAGCGCAAAGGAATTCCTTTCACTTGAAGTTCCTGACCAAATAAATCATGCCTCAGCGCTAAACTGGATTAAAGCCTTATTTGCATCCTGATTTGACCTGATCATTACTGGGCAAGTCGTCAAGGATCTGGATAAAGAAGGTAAATTATAATCTCCCTGCATGATCTCAGGTGGAGTCCAATACTCCTTTGCAGAAGTAGAAATGATGGGAACAAGAAAAAGCAATCCGCAGCCAACAGGTTAGTGGCTAGAAGCTGCAAGGATTTTTACTGAAAGAGGAAAATGCCTATGTCCCCTCAAAACATCAGCACGCAGAAAGGAATTCAGTTAAAAATGTGACAAAATAGGAAATGTATGTTTGTGTCCTGATGCCAGGTTTTCCCTCTCAGGACTATTGTTCTTGCATCAAACAGTTGTTTCAACATGCTACGATAACTTGTTTCCCATTCTGTTTTATGTCAGAGGAAACACCAGGGTAACCGACTAGTTGGAACTACTTTGTTTTCTCTATTTTATGCAAGGGCAATGAAAGTAAGTGAGCAGTCAGAATCTGAAGGGTCAGGTGATCTCATTTGTGATGATGTCATAAGAACTATTGTAACAATGGGAGAGATTCTGGAAGTTTGAATCTGTGCAATGACTAGCAACCATTTTCAGTGTTTCAACGCTTGAGCAAACCTGGAGAAGGTACCGTCTGATTTATAAATTAGTTTAAGTATAATTTTGAGACACACTAGCAATTGGAGGTTATTTTAAAAGGAAATATCCTTAGATCCTGAAAACCACTGTTTTCAGAAAAAGGAGTTTTCTTTCCATTCTCATTGATGGTTCTTACTTTTACGATTATACACTATTTGTATAAAGACAGTGGAATACAAGCACAAAACGTGAAAATGGCAGAAGTTGGAAATGACTGCTATTTCTATTTTTATTCCACCTGCATAAAGGTAAATATTGCAAAATTTACAGTGGTTTCCATCCTTGATTGTAAGGATGAGTTTATAGTATAAATTATGACCTTTTTCATATACCAATGTGTATAGCTTGTGCATGTGTCCATATAGGTATATTTGATGTGCAGACAGAAACTGGTTGTCAGAGATGTTGGGAACTAGCCTTTGCCATGAACTTCAGACCTAGAGCTCATTACTTCTCACCTTATATCATTAACTCATTGAGTTAAATTCATAAATAACATGCACTTTGTAGAGTGCATTTTTGTAAATGCTACCTGAAGACTACTCCTCATGGTTGTTTTAATTAAAACAGTACTTACACAGCCTGAAGGAAACAACATTTATAAACTTATTAGGAACAGGCATTTTGTCTGGTTTTAATAAACCAGCTACCTGTGTCTGACTGCCTCATTCATTTCTTGAAATGGCAACGTTGTAGATGCTATTACCCATTGAAGAATTATATGTAAGAATGACTATGGCAAAGTCAAAGGAGTGGTAAGGAGTTTATGCTATGCATCTGTTTGTAATGTTAGAGCCTTACTGAGTGATTAAATATCCTTCTCTCCACAAATCTGTAGTAGGTTACCAGCAGTAGTGATTTTATCCCAAAAATAATGCTTTGTAGAAACAGCACTCATGGGTCTGTTTATAATTACCTGATGCTGGTTGGGGGAAAAAAAATATTTCATATACTGTAAAACTTGAGATTTCAGAAAAATTCTTATTCTGCATTGAAGGAAAACATGGGATTTTCTTAATGAGAAATCTGAGGTTAACCTGCTTTAGAATAGCCAATAGCCTGGTTGCTTACCTGGTATTTGAGAAACCATTGATCAAGCCTCTGCTCTGCCTAACCCACTCATATCTTGAACTTGAGTCTTCTTCATTCTCAGGTGAGTGTCATATGCAGTGGACTATTAATTATTCTAGTAGATATTATTTTTTATTTTGACCAGATATTCTGTTTTGTAGCTAAGAAGCCTTTCTTGCTGAATTGATATTTTCCAATGAAAAATCTTGTGTCAGTAATTCTCAAACGTCTCTATTTTTGTGCTCTGGAAGTTTTTGTGGACAAAAGCTAGCTGACACAAGTGACTCTTCAGCCGTAGTGAAAATACAGTTAGAGCAGGGTTGATAAACTCACATGGGCCCCTGAGCTAGGTCCAGTCCTGTTGGTGGCAGTGGGGTGAATAGCAGCAGTGCAGGGACTAACGCATCTTTCCTACTGCTGACATATATCTCCAATGGGTCTCCATAGCAGAGAATTCAGCAGCAGGCCTCACCTCTACTTACCCTACCTCTGAATTCCCAGTAAAATGGCTTCACGGGGGGTATTCAGCCTCAATCTTTATTACCCTGACCTAAAGTAATGCATGTCATGGTGAACCACTGAGAACCAGAGTTGACCAAATGAATGGAATTAAAAGAAGCAAACAAAATTAAAAGCCTGGAATCATTAAATTTTAGGAAAAGATTAAGGGCAGGATTCACCATGTTCTAAATTAATTCTGTGCTGTTTAATATCAGCTGCCCTCCCTCTACCCACCTCCCCTGCAACATTCCCATTGTAAAGGGGGAAGAAACAAGTGTATCAGCAGTTGACTTGGAGATGGGGTGGGGGGAGCGGGGATATAGTTAAACTGAATTACTTTGTGCCTGATTTCTTGCTTTCATAAACCCTGTTATGGAGTTTATATCAGTGACAATGTTAGAGCATGACATCTACCACTTGCTCTTCCTCTGTGAGTCAGAGGCTGGGGCATAGGAAGCTGCAGCCAGCTCCTTATGGATTATATATCAGCCCCTACATCCTTCATCTGTGTAACTCTTACATAGTGGGGAACAGGGGCATGAATAAAAATCTATATGGCTTTGCTGCATGATTATTAAGAGAGAGTTCTGATAACATTTGCAAGAATCTGAAGAATATAGAAACAACAAGGAGGGAGAAAAACTATTTCAAGATCTCTAACAGGATATCAATAGGAATAATAAGATAAAACTGGACAAGAGAAAAATTTGGTTGAATATAAAGAAAACAGTACTATCCAGTAGACTGTAGAATAGCCTCCCAAAATTTTAAGTAGTGGATAACTGCATCTTTTGAGTTACTTCAAGTTAAACTGGGCAGAACAATTATCATATAGGCCTGAAATTTCTTCCACTTGTGCTAGTATAAATTAGTAGTTGCTTGAGACTAATGGGCTCATTTCTGCCCTCAGTGGCACAATTGTGATTCCCATTGACCTGGGGTTTACATCTGTGTAGTTAAGTACAGAATTGAGTCTTGTGTAACTTTACAATGTCAGTGAATCGGGTCCTAAATCTTTTCCATAATTTACAGGTGTTTCAGAGAACAAAAATTGTGTGCTACATGGACCAGGGTATGCTCTACTTTCTCATTAATACAAACAATTTTAATAAGATAATAACAAATAAAGCAACCACCGATACGAGTGAATGATACGGATTTTAGAATCATCTCTATTACCTTTCAGGGTTCAAAGTGCCACTTCCGTCATTGTGAAAAAGCCTTTGGTAGTGATACTGTCTGCTCATTATGGAGAGTGGGAAGATGTTCACATCAACTTTGTGGATTTAGACATATGGAAATAAAGGTAAAATGTTGGAAGTTCTGAAGTACACACTCTTAAGGGAAAGTGGCTTTCACCTCTGCTAACCTCCTATCTAACACCAAGATCAAACAGAAATCCTTCTGGCAACAAGATAAAAGATATTGTGTGTGTATATGGTTGTTTGTTTTTAAAATACCTGGATAACCCACACTACATGCTTTAAAACCTATATATACTTAGGCTTGACAGGATTTGATTTTTATTGATAGACATCAATAAACATTAATTTCACCTGACATTCACAGACCAACAGAAAATAATTCCATTGGTAATCATCACATTTTACGTAAAAGAGAAAATTTTAAAAATCTGAGATGGAAGTAAGGAAATCTGCGGCAGGGGGCACTGTGTGTGAGAATATTCCACTACAGGAGCTAGGGACCCTACCAGTAAGGCTGTGGTAGGAGAGGGGGTTGGAGGGTCAGAGCTGGTAGCAGCTCGGAACTTAGTACTGCCAACCACTTGCTGTGCCCAGGTCCCAGCTGAAGCAGGGACCAAACTCCTACAGAGCTTAGCCCCTGAGTAGTCAGAGCAGTGGCCAAAATCCTGGGTTAGGGACAGACATTACACATAAACAGGTTTAAGTGATCAGAAACTGGTTTAAACCTGTAACAGCAGAAGTTCAGTGCACATAAACCAGTTTGAAAATGGCTGAAACCAGTTTGAGATAAACCTGGTTGAATGTAGTATCAGACTTAACTGATTTGTGTCAAACCAGTTTATGCAATGTCTATCCCAGACGCCTTCCTAGTTTAAATTAAATCAGAGTCCCCTAGAATCCCAGGTGTTTTGCTGGGCGGCACTATGCTCTTTGCTTCAGCCCAGCTGAGCTGGCCTCTCCCTGGCTGGAGCTCCGGCAGAGACCGCAGACAGAGCAGGGTCTGCCTGGATTCCTCCTGCTCCCCCTCTCCCTCTCACCACTCCCTACTCAAGCAGGGGTTCGCCACTCCGCTCTGCCTTATGCAGACACCTCTCAGCATTAGCTAGCATACCACATGCTGGCTACAGTCTCTGCTGTGGGAGAAAGAACAAAGGCAGACAGCACAGTGTCTGCTTAGGGCTTTTTTGAGTTAATCAACAGGTAGCTGGTAATGTCCCTCCATTCCTTCCTTGGAAACAGTTGTTTAAAAAGAACTCGAACTAATGAGAAATACTTTTGTTTTGCTTATGGGCTGATAAATGCTCCCTGTGTAACTCCCCTTTATGTATGCTGTGTAAATCCCTGTTGGTTCCCTTGCTGACCAGCAAGGGGGGGACCCCTCCCTAATTAAAGCATCCTGCTAGGGCCTGGCCACACCCCACCTCAGCTCAGCACTGTGGAAGGGAAGGGAGGGTTACTCTAGCATCCCCCAGCCTGAGCCACTGCAGGTATGTACCTGCATTTCTTCAGTCCAGAGCAGATATCTGTATAGTTACAGACTGATTCAGCCTAAGCAGGTTAGATTAACGTGCAAAGATTGAATCAATTCAGGCTCAGGCTTTTTGAAAGTCTGTCCCTAGCCCTTCAGAGCGTGGCCCAACCCCTGTGTAATTGCAGCAGGGGCCAAACTCCCACAGAGGCCAGGCTGGGCCAGGCTCCATGGGTTTTTGGCCCCTGGCCTGGCTGGGAACTGTGCAGAGTGAGGGCCTGGTGGCATTGGGCTCCCAGCCGCTACCAGCCCTGCACCTTCAACTCCCACTCCCTGCACAGCTTTACTGGCATGGCCCCCAGCTCCTGCAGCAGTTACAGTGTGTGCGCACGTGTGTGTGTGTGTGTGCGTGCGTTAAATCAATACAAATTAAAAAGCACCCCTTATTTTGCGCAATCCTGACACTTTTTCAGTTGGTAAATATTGAAACAAATGCTTAAAAATAAACATCAATTTTAGCCATCAAAATTAACTCCCACCCCCCTTGGAGCATCTCAGGTATCAGTGTCCCCACACTGAAAAATGGCACTGGGGGTGCTTTAGCTAAAGCTCCTTGAACAAGCTTTAGTTAAGGCTCCCTGGCTGCCATTTTTCAGTCTGGGGATGCTGATATATGAGATGCTGAAGTCTCTTGGAACACAGCAATTAGCACTCCAATGCACTGTAATTGCAGCGTGTCGGAGCAGTCCTGTTGCACTTGTATAGGCGCCCATGGAGTGCTAGCCTCCAGAAAAATATACTCTTCCTTTTTAACCCATATTGTTTTTAATCATTACCCTATTTGTTTGTAGTTGGTTCAAATAATGATGTCTGAAAACTCTTTTTTTTTTATAGCAAAAATACACCAATATCTCATGTTTCTGGGAAACTCAGCCTTTAGGCTGCGTGAGGATCAGTTGCGTCTTTCATCATAGCAAACCACGTAATATAAATGGACTTTTTTTACCACCTAGTAGCAGTGAGTAAAAATATTTTCTCAGTAATTTGGACTTTGAAATAGATATGCTAAATAGATAGCAGCTCGGAACTTACTAGACATGCATAAAGCATACTAGACACATGTTTATAAAATGCCTATTTAGGTGAAGAATTACAATATTTTTAATGAGGTTAAATATGATCTCAGGCCAAAGTTAGTAAAGGAATGCAACTAACTATGTTACTAGGGTTATCATACAGCTTTCTTCAGTCATGGTGTTAGGAATTTCCATAGCTAACAATTATACCAAAGGTGATGTGCTCAGTAACAGCTCAGTTATATACCCCACAAGTGAACGATAAAGCCTGTAATGTTTTAAATGCTGCCTATCTTTGGATGTACTATATGACTGTCATGTCTTACTTGCAATGCTCAGTGATTGTGTATAAAAAGTCAAATACATTTAAGGATTTTGTTTTGTAGAAAAATCCTTCAATTTCTTACTATTCCTGAAAAGTCTTCAGCATGCAGACATGTGTGTTGACTCCCAACAGCATAATGGTACTGCCAGAGGTCTTTGCAGGGCTTAACTATAATACGTGATCTGGAAGTCAAGGCAATACAGTGCTTTTTTTTTTCCCTACAGTGTATACAGTATTATTTGAAGGCACATTCTGGTGCAATTTTACAGGATGTATTTTAAAGGCTGTTCCTTGTATAGCCCTGATTCACCGATTAACCACTCATGCACACCAATTGGTTGTAATTATAAACAGTATTTGCTTACTGTAGCACCACATGTGCATAGCTCATCAGGTAGACTTTCTGAAACACCATCTAAAATCATCCATTCCATCTGTGTTTTTCATCTTAATATCAGAAGAAAAAAACAATTTTTCTATTTCTGTCATCCAGTGCTGGCTGCTCTTCTCACATTACTGATCCAAATGATTTAATTTTCAGTCTGAAGGGCTGAAGATATGCAAAAATATTTGTGCCATTTCTTGACAGTACACGAGTAGCCAAATGTCAATATATAAACAAGAATTCATCCTCCTTTGCATTGTTTGAGATTACAACTGGGATGGAAGTAGTTTTCCCATCCAGCAAAAATTATAGAGATTTTTCTATTCTGCTCCAAAAGAAACAAAGAGGTTTTGTAAGTTCCTTCCCCCAACACATACACAAAGCTAGAGACGCCCATGCCAGAGTAGCATATGTCTAGGCAGCCAGAACATAAGAGTAGATTCAGGACAGGGATTTGAAGCTGGATCACCCACATTCCACCTAAATTTTATGCACCCGTGCCCCGAAGTAGAAGTCACAAATTTAACTTTGGTACCTATACTGAAAGAGGAGACTTAAGTGCTTCACAACAGGATTCAGAACTACTATTACATTGAGTGGGGGGCACTTAAGGATAGAAAATTCTGACAAGAGGATATATGTGAAATCCCTCTCCTCTTCCAAGGAGAGAGAACCCCTTTAGATATCCCTTCCTGTAGGTGTCTAAATCACGTATGACTGACTTGCTCTTCACTTTTAAAATACAATCAGAGGTAGCAGTACAACCTTTTATATAATATCCTAGTAATTATGGCATATTCTTAGGTTGTAGTACAGGCCAGGTTGTTAGCCTTTAGCAGCCTCAGGGAGTTCAAACCCACATGTCCCACCTGGGAGTATCTTTATCAGTCGGCTAATGACCTGGTCAACTCTCCTCTCCTGATGAAGTTTTGCTTCTCTGAAAAGTAAATATGAAATTTTTGAGCCAGAGAGAGAGAAAGCAGAAGGGAAAATGAATCTGCAGCCCAGTAATGAGGGCACTCTCCAGCTTCTGGTCCCTGATCTCAATATTTTTTGTATATTATATCTAATGAGTTTATTGGAACGGCGCGCAACCTTTTTAGACTCAAGTCACCCCTTGATAGACTCAAAGTACACCTCAAAAATATCAGCTCTTAGTTTTCACTTGTTTTTGACCACAGAAAAATAATAGAGGAAATCTTCTGTTGCAAAGAACATCCTGACTGGTGGTCTTTTTAACACTCTGGATTCCCATTTAAAATCTTGTGGGCTTATCTTGTGAATCATGTTTGTACACCTAACAGTGCTAGCATTGTGTTACACACTGTGGCACCCCTGAAAGAATTTAAATGCACCCCAGGATGCCACAGCACCCTGATTGAAAATCACTGGTTTAATGCAAAGTGCATAAGCAGTTACTGGAGCAGTGACCAGAACTTATTATCCAGAACCTCAGGAGCTATCTGATTGAATGCCTGATTAGCTTTCTGGCTCTAGGAAGGCAGGCCTCAGGCCATAAACCTAGAACTCTCATCAAGCCTAATGCTCTAAAGCTTGCAGCTTTGTCTTGGTCTCTGATAACCTGGCCTTGACCTTGCTCTGTGACACTTGTCTTTTGATTCTGACTCCTGATTCCAGTTTCTCACTTTAGTTTGTCTCTGGACTCTGGGTCTTGGCTTTCTGATCCTAATTCTTAGCCCCTAGTTTTCTAACCCTGGATTTTAGTTTCTGGCTTACCTCCTGACTTCGGGCCTTAGTCTTGGCTTTAAACATTAGAACAGGCCACCTGCCCATGCTCTGATTCCTAGCACTCACTTTTTAGAAAGTGTCTTCATCAAAAGGCTATGGAGTCCTACTCCTTCTTGCATGTTCCAGTGATATGTGGAGAAGAAGTAGGGTTAAAACTCCTTTAAGCTAAGGAAACCCTGAAGAATTTAGCTCTTCCACTTCCTGAGCAAGTGTTCTAACCACTTGTCTACTTTACAAAAAGTGTGTGGAACTGTCAGCCACACGCCTTCTTGTGGTTTTTCTTCATTTGAATGAAAATGGTCATAACTACTATGTCATGTGTTGAGCTAACTGTTGTCTGTGTGTGTTAGCTATGATCTTGAGTCCCACAGGGGCTTAAATGGAGGGATGTACTGTTGGTGAGTCCCAAAGGGTCTTTTTCAGTATATAAATGCCAAGATGGTGGCACCTCTGGGTCAGGAGTAGTAGAATTTAAGCATCCAAAAAACCCATACTGGCGAAAAACTACCAACCTATGGCCTCCCAGTGGCAAATGACTTCTGGAAATTACCTACTTGGACATTGACTTCTAAATGGCACTTATGTGCATAAAATACAATTTAAGTACACTCTTGGATCTGGTCGTTAGCACTTAGAAATTACAATGATAACCATTTGAAAATGTTAAGATCCTAGATAGACTGTATACAGTAGTTAGGAGTTGCAATGAAAAAAACAGCCAGCTACAATCATTTACTATTCATGGCTAGACATAATGTCACCAGCAGTCCATACTGGGGCATCATATGGAACAAGAGTCCACAAGACATTTTTTGTATTCCATCACATACGTGTCAAATCTCACTCATTTGCAGGCAAAATAAAATTCTACTGTTGCAGCCTGCGTCCAGGTCATCTTTAAGTGCTCATCTTTCCTTTCTTGACTTCACTTAAGTTTTTTCCAGGTTGGGTGTTTTAGGAGAACATCTGAAGCAAATACCTCTTACCAATGATTTTTCTCTTACTCAATGATTTCTGGAAGATGGAGTGTTTCTGGGGAAAACGATAAATTCTTTCTCAAACCTTCCCAAGGACAAACTCATATTGCTTCTAATGGAGTTTGGTCTAGTCTGGCTTTCAAGAGTGGGATCAAGATGTATAGAACTGAAGTTACAGACAAGAATTCAGACTTTGCAGGCAAAGCTACTGAACTTGATATTCCTAAAGAATACAAAGTTCTTTTTTACAGATCAGATTGTATTGTGGAATGATAAACAATTAGGGTTGAAAGCGGCTGCAGGAGGTTATCTAGTCCAACCCCTTGCTCAAAACAGGACCAATCCCAACTAGGTCGTTCCAGTCAAGGCTTTGTTGAACCAGGCCTTAAAAACCACCAAGGATGGAGATTCCACCACCTTTCTAGGTAACCCATTCCAGTGCTTCAACATCCTCTAAGTGAGAGAGTTTTTTCCTAATATCCAACCTAAACTTCCCTTGCTGCAACTTGAGACCATTGCTTCTTGTTCTGTCATCTGCCACCACTGAGAACAGTCTAGCTGCATCCTCTTTGGGATCACGCTTAAGATAGTTAAAGGCCACTATCAAATCCCACCCCCACCCCAGTCTTCTCTTCTGCATACTTAAATAAGCCCATTTCCTTCAGCCACTCCTCAGAAGTCATGTGTCCTAGCCCCCATCACCATTTTCATTGCCCTCCAGCATATCTACTCTTCCTCCCAGCTTGGTGTCATCCACAAATTTGCTGAGGGCTACATCATCTTCTAGGTTGTTGATGAAAATATTGAACAAAACTGGCCCCAGGACCAACCCCTGGGATATTTTACTTGATACCAGCTGCCAACTAGACATTGAGCTATTGATCATTATCTGTTGAACCCAATGATCCAGCCAGGTTTCTATCCACCTTACAATCCATTCATCCAACCCATACTTCCTTAGCTTGCTTGCAAGAATGCTGTGGGAGACTCTATCAAAAGCCTTGCTAAAGTCAATGTATATCATGTCCTCTGTTTTCCCCACATCCACAGAGCCAGTCATCTCATCATAGAAGGCAATCAGTTTGGTCAGGTATGACTTGCCCTTAGTGATTCCATGCTGATCACTTCTCCTGCAAGTGCTTAGAAATAGGTTTCTTGAGGACCTGCTCCATGTTTTTTCCAGGAACTGAGGGGAGGCTGACTGGTCTGTAATTCTTTGGATCCTCCTTCCATTTCTTAAAGATGGACACTATATTTGCCCTTTCCCAATTATCTGGGACCTCCTCTGATTACCACACGTTTTCAAAGATAAGGGCCAGCAGCTCTGTAGTCACATCAGCCAACTCCCTCAGCACCCTTGGATGCAATGCATCTGGCTCCATGGACTTGTACACATCCCGCTTTTCCAAATAGTCCCTAACCTGTTCTTTCATCACTGATGGCTTCTCACCTTCTCACCAAACTGTGCTACCTGGTGCAGTAGTCTGGGAGCTGTGACCGTGCCTG